ATAATCATTCTTCTATTGTTTTCTTAATATTTATTAATAAGGATCAGAATAATGATTTCATTGTTGTTGCATATGTGAGAGTTATTGTTGCTGTTGTTGTTGTTGCTGTTGTTGTTGTTGTTCGTTATACAAACTATTAACATTGAAAGTAGAAAAATAAAACAATACATAACCAAACATATAAACAAACATACAAACTAACAAACATAAACACATATAAACAAACATACAAACAAACATACATACATGCATACAAACAAACACAAATAGACAAGCACGCATAAATATTACAAATTTTTCCAATCCTTACTCACTGAAATGTCATTAAAATTAAGTACAACTCCATGTCAAGTAATTCGTTAGTTGTCATATTTGGCGTTGAGGTCTGCTTGTAGTTTAGAGTAGCTACATGTAGTATACTGTAGCTACGTGTAGTGTAGCTACGTGTAGTGTAGTGTAGTGTAGCTACGTGTAGTTTGTCGCTACGTGTAGTGTAGTTTGTTGCTAGCTTCTTTGCAACAGTTGCGGCTGTGTGTGGTTAGAAAGTTTTTTTTATTTTGTCTGAATTGTATGTTTTGTTTGTTTGTTTTTTTTGTTTGTTTTTTTTGTTTGTTTTGTTTGTTTGTTATAAAGTTTTGTAATTATCACAAAAAATGTAAACAAAATTATATATAAACACGATTAAGTTGTTGACTAATCAAATTAATATTAATAAATGGCGAAGGATTTAAATTTCGGTGTACCGTTCTTTAAAACCATACAATGTTTAAAAAACTATTTTATTTGTTTTTTCTGCTATATCATGAAATTATTATTTTTTATTATCTTTTATCTAATAATACTATAATTTTTTTATTTTTTATTAAACATCATTGTTGTATCATTTACTAAACTAAATTTTCTTCAAACCATCCAACCAACCCACCCCCTTCAAGATTCTGACAAATCCTCATCTTCCTCCTCCTCCTCGACTACCACCACCACCACAGCTTCCAAAAACAACAACGGCAGTGGCGGTGGCAACGGCGGTAGCAGCAGCAGCGGCAACAAGAAACGTCGCAAGTCGAGGACAGCATTCACGAACAAGCAGATCTTTGAGCTGGAGAAGAGGTTCGTGTATCAGAAGTATCTGACACCTGTCGACAGAGATGAGATAGCACAGGCTCTAGGCCTTTCAAACGCCCAGGTATGTCTGAAATTTTTCACAGTTTTCTATTCCTCTCTTTACTTTTGCCAAAAAAAAACCAGCAGTAGACACGCACTGCTTATGAAGAAGCGTGATTCAAGGCAGCACACATTCCAAGTGATAGGTGAGGAAGATTATTTGGTATTCGAACCTGGTCACTACAACAACACTGTCAGGCATCTTAACCGCTTATCCATCGCGCCAGTTTTTGCCACTGCGTCTCTTTCGCCTTTGATTTTTAAGTTATTTTTTGCGGTTTAATCAAATTTCTTTCCAATCTTCATACAGATTTGTCTAGCTACACTGATATTCATGATTTTTTTCTCTCCAATAAAACATTAAATGTTTCTATGTAATTCAATTTACGCTGATTTCAAATCTGTAAACCATTTTGCTCTATCTATCCGTGTTCGTGATGACGATTGATCTATTTGGATCCCTACTGAGGATTTAATTTTATTCTACGTAATTGTACGTATATATATATTCATCAAAATGTTCAGTGAGTTATTCGCTAATCTACTGACTAATCACGCACATCCAGGTAATCACGTGGTTTCAGAACAGACGCGCCAAACTAAAGAGGGACATGGAGGAACTGAAAGCTGACGTCATAGCTGCTAAATCGCTGGGAAAGGAAGTTGTGGGCGGAACCTTAGTAGGCGGGATTGAAGAACTTCTGCAGGGAACGTGTGAGACTTTGAAGAAAAAGGCTCCAATCAAATCGTCACAACAACATCAGCAACAATCGCTCAACCAATCGCAACATCTTAATCATAACGCACCCGACCGATCACCTGCAGGGCAGCAGATGCATTCGCCACTGGGAACGATGCAAGTCTTCAACCATTCACCGATTGTTTTGCACGGTCTAAACCATTTAACCAATCACGATAGACGAAGTTCTGAGATGAGTTTTGATTCGTCAAGTAAACTGTATTCTCCACAAAATCTAAGCTCTGATTGGGCTAAGCATAATCGATCCAACCAATCAAAAAGCAGAGAATGTAACAAAGACAACGCCGATGAAGATACTGAACTGAGCTGATGCAAAAAGAGTTTCAAAAACAGAAAAATTATTATTAAAAAGCTCGATGGTCAAAAAATAATTGTGATGAAAATGATAGTATTGGTGATGATATGACAATGGCAAGATGATGACGACGATGATGTAGATGATGATTATGAGGGTGATGATGGCGATGAAGACGATGGTTTTAAATAAGAACGGAGATGGCACAACTGAATGATGAAACAAGTTGGTAAAATTGTCTCATATATGACAATGGTGATGATATGACAATGGCAAGATGATGACGACGATGATGTAGATGATGACGACGATGTTGATACACAGGTTGATACACTACACTACACCATAAGATGTTGATAAGATACACAGACAAAATCACCACCATCGTCACCACCATCGTCACCACAGTAGTGGTGACGATGGTGGTGATGATGAAGAATGTTTGTGATGTGATGACGATTAGTAGTACATTAACCACAGTCATGTGATTATTGTGACGAGATGATGGTGAACGTTTCGAAGATGATGTAACTTACGTATTGATGATTCTGATTCAATTGTTTGGATGATTATACTAGTAAATTTATTGACAAATGTTCATGAAATCAGATTTTGAAATGAATTATTTAGGCCGTACAGTATAGAGATGGTGATGTTTTTAATAACAGAAATAACAATTGTATTTTGAGCGATGTAAAACACACACACACACACATGCACACGTACACACACGTACACGTAAACACACAGACATACACTTTTTTTTGTTACATTTTTTAACCATTTATATATCAGAAACTCAATTTGAATAGTAATAATATTAACTAATTAATTCGTTAATCATTTCATTGTGACAAATTTTTCAGATTTAGCAAACTTAATGACAAAACTATAGTACGTAGATATTTTAGAAATTTATTTTCAAATTAAAGAGCAAAAACTGCCATTTTTAATTTTGTTTATACGAATATAATTTTTTTTTACTTTTTGTAAGGATTTTTTTTTCAATTTTATAACTATTTGTTTCGATTTTGACTTTGAATTATTAACTCTGTCTAAATCAGTGATAAATAATTACTTCTAGAATCAATAAAAAAACTTTAAAATGACGAAACAAATTGTTTTCATTTCCTAATATTCTCACATGAAACATTGTAAATAATTTGAAAGTTAATAAAACTTTGATATAGAGCATCAGCATCAAGCACTTCATAAAGAACATAACATATAACAATATCAATGTTGAGCGAAAACCTGCAGATGTCTTGAGCATGTCTGCTCCGCCTGGTCTCCACTGACTTCTGATACAAGCTACGGCAGACTTCAAGGCACACAGAATGCTGTCTTACGGGTAACCCCTGAATGCCATAAGATAGCATCAGAGCTGCACCTCCTTGCAGTGTGCCAAGTCCACCGACCTTCTATCATCACAGTTTCCACTACATTACCACAACTCAGATCACCCCTGCCAATACATCATCAGAGAACCAAGATCTTACAGAAATACGAAAGAAACCATTTACGCCAAACATCTACACAGGGTGCAATCAGTGCTGCACATAGACATTAACAGCAGTACGCTGAAGGCATCAACAACTTAACACGGTTGCGCTGCGAAACTCGCTTCTGAGTCGTATCATGTCGCTGTACTGCTCAAAGAATGGCCTCCCCGACTCTTAAAATAGTAAAGGCAGAAGAGAGTTTGCCCAGAGAAATGAGAAGATCGCCGGCCCAACTTCGCTTAAGTCATTTACATCTTTCTTAACAGCTACGAAGTAAGAATCGACAGTGAAGTCAGCAGTAACTGTCCGTTATGCCGCAAACATCCTGACGATGCTACCCACCTATTTAACTGCCCAAACAACCCTATATATATCACGGTAATAGATCTCAGGCAAAACCCGGTTGCTGTAGCCAACTGGCTCCAGCCCCGTCAGAGCTTCTCTGGCAATGTTTGAAGCCGGGCAACAACAACAACATATCAATGTTAGGCGCTTCTACCATGATGACATCTAAACATTAAGAACTACATCGGTTGAAACTAATTAAGAATGACAACATGGTAAAAACTTTCGATAAAATTCAAGGAAAATGAAATCAGCCTAAATTTACAAAGAAGTCAACAGCAGATAATACATAGAGAAGCATCAAATAGTTGATCCGCTATTGAATCGAAACCAAAACCTGAGTGACCAGAAAATTCAAAGTTTTGTAATTAATTAGCTAACAAAAGAAAAAGAAAAAAGAAAATTCGTGTCTAGCAGAAACTCTTAACCGAGATAATATACAATCTCCTGTTCAAACTCAGATGTTTCAGAAGCTGTGATGACCAAGAAAGATTCTGCTAATATTAAACAATTAACGCTCTGGAATTTAAAATAACTTGATGGCTTAAAAGAAAATTGCTTTATTTGGCTTTTTGGCCCTTCAAAATGGCCGAAGCCAAATAAATGCCAAACTTTGGCGTCTATAACAAAAGACGCACATATTATTAACATTAGGAGTTTTTTCAAAATTATCTAGTACAAAAATATTCAGAGTTGTTTATTGAACGATTGTTATGCAAACAATCAATCAGTCAGTCAACCAATGAATCAATCAATCAACCGGCCATTAAAACAATCAATCAATCATTGAGTTCAACAATCAATCAAAAAATCGATCAATGAGATTGACATATATCAAACAAGGCCTAACACACACACGTACGCACACGCACACACATACACGTACGCACACGCACACACACTCTTTCTCTCTCTTTAAAAATTACAAATACTTAATAAATAAAAATGTGCGTGCCGAAATTATTTTTGAATTCATAAATTCACATAAAATCTTTCTTAAGAGCCTACCCAAAGTACGCTGATTTCATACAACTACCCACCCAGACGCACAAATGGAAACACGCATTCATAGGAACATGACACATCTTCCAACACATAAAACAAACAAACAAACATACAAACAAACAAAATAACAAACAAACAAACAAACAAACATACATGCAAATATATATATATATATATATATATATATATATATATATATATATATATATATATATATATACATGCAAGGTGACTAATATTATAATCATATTATATTATCCATAAATACACACATATAGATAATTATTAATATTATTATATTATATTATTTGCAGACACAGAGACACACATACGTTTGTTTTCATAGTAACATAGAGACACACACGTAGAATCACTCGTCGTATTCATTCACAATGTGTCTTGTCTGTATCTAGAGGTAGGACCACACAAGATCCCTTTAAACAAATGAATTGTTTTTTATTTGAATCGTTATACAAGTAACACGCATATAGTACCATCAGGGAACTGTTTTTCGCAACTAACCACATTTCGTGCTTGTTGCAGCGGTTCCTGCGTGTCTGTGTGCTTGAAAATATCCAACTGAATGCCGACATGTGCAATTAACGACAAATCAAAGTGTTGATCCATTTGTTACTTGATGCTTGACGGTTCAGTGTCATTCATCATGTTTTGGTTTTAACACATAGTACCATATGTAACTTTATATTCGAGTCTTATGAAAATAAATTTCACCGAATATTAAAAAATTTTCAGTTGTTTAGTGGAAAAGGAGTGATCTCGATTAAATTTGAATTCAACTAGATGAATGTTATTAAGGAATCATTCTCACATTCTCAAATCCTCCCATCAGGAAGTCCGTAGGCGTTTGTGGAATTCATTTTAGTATAGTTATTATCTCGTTGTTAGGCACTTTTAATAATGCTTCTTACACATTAAATAAAGATTTTTATTGATATCAATGGTTGAAATGATAAGAATACATTCATTGTTTACCAAGTGATTCATCGTGATTCTCTTCAAGTTCTTCGTTACAAAATTTGCCTCGTGCTACATAGCTTCAGCTTTGAAACTGCAGTTGTTGTAAAAACTACAAATAAAGGCATTTGCCTCAATGGAAAAAGCAAATGCACTGGAGAAATTTTTATTTCAACAAATTTTGGCATTTTTTTGTATGGGGATTGCAACCCTTAAGCCCTATAGACCACAACTTGCAAATTCCATCATTCCTACTTGGCATGTGACCACCAAACTAATTTCTCTTTATAAGAACGTCATTTTAAATTGATTGCCATTTAATCATAAGTGAAATTTTCAAATTGTGACAACTTTTAAATGATTTCTTTCAAGAAATTATTCAACTATACTGAAGATGGTTTCTTCATCTATGTTAATGATAAATCAATCAATCAATTAGCTTATAAAGCGCTATTTCCGCGATGTTCAACAGCGCTCCTCAATGAATTTTGAAAACAGATGGGTCTTGAGATCCGCTCTGAACTTCGCAAGTGATGGAGAAGTAGTCAGAGAAGGAGGTAGAGAGTTCCAGAGAAAAGGACCAGCAAAAGCAAAAGCAGATTTGGCAAAAGAGTGTTTAACACGAGTTAAGAAAAAGCGAGAAGAAGAAGACGATCGTTTAGGTTCAATTAATATATCTGATAAAAATACTTAGGAAATAATTTAGATTGAGACTTATACATGAAAAATAAATGATTTATTTGCAATTGCATAAACGCCATGTTATTTAAAATTGTTAGAAGGGTTAAACAATATGAATTTAATCTTGAATTATAAATTTGAAATTTCGAGTTTTGCGATGGAGTGCGTGCGCTCTTGAAAGATGAAGCTTTAATAAATAATTGAAATATCTGTCAAGCATTTCGTGTTTGTGTCGTTGTGGCTGCTGTTTCTGTTGTTGTTGCTGTTGTTGTTGTTGTTGTTGTGGCTGCTGTTGTGGTTGCTGTTGTTGTTGTTTTTGTGGTTGCTGTTGTTGTTGTTGTTGTGGTTGTTGTTGTTCTGGTTGCTGTTGTGGCTGCTGTTGTGGTTGCTGTTGTGGCGGCTGTTGTGGTTGCTGTTGTTGTTGTTGGTGGTGATGTTATTGATGTATTTCGATGTCTTTTGTGTGAAAAATTCTTGGTTGATGTTTTCCTGCTAATGTTCTCTGAG